AGGAGCGGGAGGAGAAGGGATAGGGAGGAGGAGCAGTGAAAGGAGGATAAGGGGATGGAGGAGCAGAAAGAAGAAGCTGGGGGGTAGGAGGAGCAGGGGAGAAAGAGCTGGGGTAGAAGGAGCAGGTGAGGAGGAATGGGAGGAGGAGCAGGAGGAGAAGAAGCTTGGGAAGGAGGAGCACAGAGAGGAGGAGCTGAGGGAGGATGGGCTGGGGGAGGAGGAGGAGCAGGGGAGGAGGAGGGATGGGGAGGAGAAACGGGAAGGAGGAGCAGGGGAAGGAGGAGCATGGGATGACGAGCTGGGGGAGAAGGAGCGAAGAGGAGGAGCAGGAGGAGGAGCAAGAGGATGAGAAGCTTGGAGAGGAAGAGCACAGGGAGGAGGAGCTGAGGGAGGATGGGCTTGGGGAGGAGGAGGAGCAGGGGAGGAGGAGGAGCAAGAGGAGGGATAGGGCAGAGGAGCATAGGAAGAATCACGGGGGAAGAGGAGCTGGGGGAGGAGGAGCCGAGGGAAGATGGGCTGGGGGAGAAGGAGCTGAGGGAGGATGGTCTGGGGGAGGAGGATCAGGGGAGGAGGAGGAGCGGGAGAAGGGATGGGGAGGTGAAGCAGGGGAAGGAGGAGCAGGAGGAGGAGGAGCTGGGGGAGGAGGAGCAGGGGAGGAAGAGCTGGGGGAGAAGGAGCAAGGGAGGAGGAGCGGGAGGAGGAGCAGGAGGAGAAGCTTGGGGAAGAGGAGCACAGGGAGGAGGAGCTGAGGGAGGATGGGCTGTGGAGGAGGAGGAGCAGGGAAGGAGGAGGCGCAGGGGGAGAAATGGGGGAGGAGCAAGGGAAGGAGGAGCAGGGGAAGGAGGAGCAGGGGGGAAGAGCTGAGGGAGGATAGGCTGGGGGAGGAGGAGCAGGGGGAGGAGGGACTGGGGGAGGAGGAGCAGGGGAGGAAGATCTTGGGGAGCTGGAGCAGGGGAGGAGGAGCGGGAGGAGGAGCAAGAATAGGTGAAACTTGGGGAGGAGGAGCAAAGAGGAGCTGAAGGAGTATGGGCTGGTGGAGCAGGAGGAGCAGGGGAGGAGGAGGAGTAGGGATGGAGAGGAGGAGCAGGGGAAGGATCAGCGGAGGAGGAGCTGGGGGAGGAGGAGCAGGGGATGAAGGAGCAGTAGAGGAGGAGCGGGAGGAGGAGCAGGAGGAGGAGAAGCTTGGGGAGAAGGAGCACAGGTAGGAGAGGTGAGGGAGGATGGGCTGGGGAGGAGGAGGATCAGGGGAGAGGAGGAGCAGGTGGAGGAGGGATTGGGCGAAGGAGCATAGGGAAGAGAAGCAGTTGGGAAGAGGAGCTGGGGGAGGAGGAGCAGGGGAGGAGGAGAAGCGGGAGGAGATGGGATGGTGAGGAGAAGGGAAGGAGGAGCGGGCGGAGAAGGAGCTTGGGGAGGAGGAGCAGGGGAGGAAGAGCCTGGGAGGAAAAGGTGGGGAGAAGGAGCACAGTGAGGAGGAGCTGAGGGAGGTTGGGCTGGGGGAGGATGAGGAGCAGGGGAGGAGGAGAGGAAGGAGGAGGAGCAGGTGAAGGAGGAGTAGGGGGAGGAGGAGGAGGGGAGGAAGAGCCGGCGGAGGAGCAGGGGAGGAGGAGCAGGTGGAGGAGAAGGTTGGAGAGAAGGAGTACAGGGAGGAGGAGCTGAGGGAGAATGGGCTTGGGGAGGCGGAGGAGCAGGGAGGAGTAGGAGGAGGAGGGGTGGGGAGGAGGAGCAGCGGAAGGAGGATCAGGGTGAGGAGGAGCTGTGGGAAGAGGAGCAGGGGAGGAAGAGCTGGGGGAGAAGGAGCGTGGGAGGAGAAGCTTTGGGAGGAGGAGCACAGGGGGAAGGAGCTGACGGAGGATGGGCTGGGGGAGGAGGAGCAGGGGAGGAGGAGCAGGGGAGGGAGAGCTGTGGGAGAAGGAGCAGGGGAGTAGGAGCAGCAGGAGGAGATGGTTGGGGAGGAGGAGCACAGGGAGGAGGAGCTGAAAGAGAATGGGCTGGGGAGGAGGAGCAGCAGAGGAGGAGGAGAGGGAGGAGGATGGATGGGGAGGAGGAGCAGGGGACGGAGGAGCAGGGGGAGATGGAGCAGGGGACGAAGAGCTGGGGAGGAAGAGCTAGGGAGGAGCAGCGGAGGAGGGGCGGGAGGAAGAGCAGGAGGAGGAAAAGCTTGGGGAGGAGGAGCACAGTGAGTAGGACCTGTGGGAGGATGGCCTGGGGGAGCAGGCGAGGAGGAGGAGAGGAAGGAGGAGGGATGGGGAGGAGCAGCAACGGAAGGATGAGTAAGGGGAGGAGGAGCAGGGGAGGAAGAGCTGGGCGAGAAGGAGCAGGGGAGGAGGAGTGGGAAGAGGACCAGGAGGAGGAGAAGCTTGGAGAGGAGGAGCTGAGGGAGGATGGGCTTGGGGAGGAGGAGGAGTAGGGGAGGAGGAGGAGCAGGAGGAGGGATGGGGAAGAGGAGCAGGGGAAGCAGGAGCAGGGGGAGGTGGAGCTGGGGGAGGAGCAGGGGAGGAGGAGCGGGAGGAGTAGCAGGAGGAGTAGAAGCTTGGAGAGGAGGAACACAGGGAGGAGGAGCTGAGGGAGGATGGACTTGGGGAGGAGGAGGAGCATGAGGAGGAGGAATCGGGAGGATGAGCAGGAGAACGAGGAGCTGGGGGAGGAGGAGCAGGGGAGGAAGAGCTCGGGGAGAAGGAGCACTGGGAGGAGGAGCTGAGGGAGGATGGTCTGGGGAGGAGGAGGAGCAGGGGAGGAAGGATAGGGAGGAGGAGCATGGGGAGGAGGAGCACAGGGAGGAGGAGCTGAAGGGGGATGGGCTGGGGGAGGAGGAGCAGGGGAGGAAGAGGAGCAGGAGGAGGAGGGATGGGGAGGAGGAGCACGGGGAGGAGGAGCACAGGGAGGAGGAGCACAGGGAGGAGGAGCTTAAGGGGGGTGGGCTGGGGGAGGAGGAGGTGCAGGGAAGGAGGAGCGGGAAGAGGAGGGATGGGGAGGAGGAGCAGCGGGAGGAGCCTGGTGCTGTGGCTGGGCGTATCTCGGAGAACCGGACTAGCAGGCAGCCTGGGAGAAGGGCGCGTTCCCCTGGGGCCTCACCCCTGCTCGCCTCTGCGTGGCCCAGTGTCCTGGGCAGGCCACACCCGCCCTGCCCTCCCCTGCTTCCCCGGACGTCCACCGCCCCCTGCCGCTCCCTCCCACACAGCTGTGGGGTCCCTGCCCAGAACTCAGGCCAAGGCTCCTGGGTGGCCCCTGCGGAAAGGGGCTCAGTGCCGAGGTGGGGGGTGGCCTCCGGCCCGGGTGGGATCCCACGTGTGTGCGTGGGTGGGGGCGGGGGGAGGCGGAAGGTGGAGATTTGGAGTCCCGGACCCCTCCCTTGGAGCCTCCCTGCCCACCGGCTTTCTCCAGCTGCTTCTCTTGGTGACACTGCCACCAGGCAGTCTCCCCTGAGTGCTCCCTGGGCTCCAAGCCGGTGCTTCCGCCTGACGGGCGCCAGGGACTTCCCAAATATGCATGTGCTGTGCTGTGCCAAGGAAAAGCAGAGAGACGGACACTGTTCCTGGTCTTGGCTCTCGGGCGCGGGGCTGGGGCCTGGGCCCCCTGGGTCCCTCTCCTGTCTGCAGAGCCCAGGGCGCACAGGGAGACCCTGAGGGGCTCTGGGCCTGTGGCCTCCCCAGTGTGAAGGGGTTCTCCCGGGGTGCACCTCGACTGGCTGCTGGGGCCCCTCCCTCAGGACCCTGGGGAAGCCCCTGTCACCCCAGGGCAGGCCAAATGCCGGGCCCCTGCTGCCGGGCACCCATCCACCCCTCTGCCTGGCTCTGCCACTCACCAACCTGAGCGATAGGACTCAGACCAGCACCGCAGTGTGCGACCCCAAGGGCCGCCCTCAGCCCCTGTGCCCGCACCTGAACCTGGGCCATGAGGCAGCAGCCCAAGCCCCAAATGCCTCTGCGGAAACTGATGTTCCTTGGTAACCCCCTACACACACACACACACACACACACACACACACACCTGCCCTGACACTGGGATAACGCTTCTTTGCACCAGAGAGGACAGAAATCACACACACACACACACACACACACACACACGCACGCACCTGCCCTGACACTGGGATAATGATTCTTTGCACCGGAGAGGACAGAGGTAACCCCTACACACACACACACACACACACACACACGCGCGCGCGCACCTGCCCTGACACTGGGATAATGATTCTTTGCACCGGAGAGGACAGAAGTAACCCCTACACACACACACACACACACACACACACACACACACACACACGCACGCACGCACGCACCTGCCCTGACACTGGGATAACGCTTCTTTGCACCAGAGAGGACAGAGGCTCAGAGAAGTTAGGCTGCTGGCCCAAAGTTGCACAGCCAGGGCACGACCAGGAATCCCATCTTGGAGACTCTGCTGCCATCTGCGGGCTGTCTGCAGTAGAACGTCGGGAAGAGCCTGGTGGCCGGGCAGCTGCTCCATCCAGGGGACAGCCGTGTTAGCGTCCAGGCTGTGCTGCACCATAGCCCCCTGGCCTCCGGGCACCCTGGCGTGCCTGGCACGTGGCAGACATCTCCGCATTGAGTTTGGCCTTCGGGGCCCAGGATGAAAGCTCATGCATGCGAAGCCCGACTCTCACCCACGTCAGGGGTCAGTGAGCCCCTGCAGACCCCCCAGACCCACGTACGACTGTCTCAGCTCTGTGGGGCGGGGCAGGGGGGGAGGGGAGGGTGTCTCCATGCAGAGTCCTGCGGGCCCCAGAGGGGCCCAGGAGGGACCAGGCCGGGGGTGCCACAGGGCTTGCGCGATGCCCACCCCACCCTTGGCAGCATCCTAGGATGTTCTGGAGTTTGGTTCTCCCTTGCCCCCCCGCCCCCCCCACAGGAAGTGGCCCTAGGGGCTGCGGGTGGGTGTGGCCGGACTTCCAGTGCTGGGCAGTGCAGGAGGAAGGGCTGGGGTCCAGGCCCCCCAACCTGCCGAGACTGACCGCCCGCACCCCCTATGCGCAGGACATCTGCGAGGACCCCCGCCTCTTCGTGGACGGCATCAGCTCCCACGACCTCCACCAGGGCCAGGTGGGCAACTGCTGGTTCGTGGCCGCCTGCTCATCCCTGGCCTCCCGCGAGGCGCTGTGGCAAAAGGTGAGTGTGGGCGGGTGGGGGGCTTCGGGGTGTCAGCGCCCCCCAACATGCCCGCAGTGGGCCAGGAAGCCCGGCCGGGCTGCCAGTGGGGGAAGTGGGGGGCTCCCAAGGCCATTCGCTGGCGTCCCAGAAACGCATGGCGGAACGGAGACACCTGTGGGCCGTGGAAGCGGATTGGATTGAATCGTGTTAGCCTGGGGACATCGCTGTTGGCCAGTCCCTGTCCTGGTCACTTTCAGCGGGGCGTGGTGCCCAGCTCTGGGCCCCACGAGCTCAGCTTGCCCCCTCGTGGCAGCACCGGGTAGTGCAGCCTGAGTCGGCCCGGCTGAGCTTGGTTCCCAAGCTTGGGAGCACAGGCCTGGCACTGACCATTCCTGCCCCCGCAGCTCTGCCCTGGTGGGTTGCCTGGCACTCACCCTGACCTCGTAGTGACCCCAGCACTAACTTCAACCTTCGGCACGGCAGGCTCGGGGAGCTGTGGGGGGGTGGGGCTGCAGATACTAAACTTCCATTTTGGGGTTCGTAATTGGGTCATCCGTCTTCGTGGCACACTGTGGGTGTCCCACACAGATGGGCTCCATTGCCAGTGGACAGAGGGAGCTGGCCCTGGAGGACACTCGACTCTGGTCACACCGTGGTTGGGGCTGTGGGCTGGGCTGTGCTCACACTGTGGTTGGGACTGTTGTGGTCGGGGCTGTGCTCACACTGGTTGGGTCTGTGGTTGGGTCTGTGGTCGGGGCCATGGTTGGGATTGTGGTCGGGACTGTGGTCACACTGTGGTTGGGTCTGTGATTGGGGCTGTGGTCAGAGCTGTAGGGGTGCTGCTCTCCCATCTTTTGAGTTCTGAAAATCAGGTGTGTGTGTGTGTGTGTGTGTCTGTTTGTCTGTCTGTCTATCTTTCTGTCTTTCTGTCTGTGTCTGTCTTTCTGTCTGTGTCTGTCTTTGTGTCTGTGTGTGCATCTGTAAGTGTCTGTGTGTGTGAGTGTCTGTGTGTGAGTCTGTATCTGTATCTGTGTGTGTGTCTGTGTGGCTTTGGCTTCATCTGGGGCCTCTGACAGTGCTTTGGGGTGAAGGAGAGCTGTGTGCTGTGGGCTCTCTGCAGACATGTAGACGTGGGTAGTTAGTTCTGGGGGTCTGGGAGGGCCCCAGAGAGCCATGTGGAGGGCAGTTCCTGGGCCTCACACCTCCCTCCCACTCCCGCAGTGGGCGGCGGGCTCTGGGTGCAGGCTATAGCCAGACCCCCCCGCCTCCGGCTCCAGTCCCTGCTCCCTGAGCCCAGAACCAGCTCTCCTGCCCCCGCAACCCCCAGGCCAGGTCTGGGTCCTGTGGGGCTGCCCCCGGCCTCCCTCCCACCCCGTAATTGCCTGTTTATCCGTGGCCTGTCCCCTTGGAGGGGAGAGGGTGCTCCCCAGGGACAGCTGGTCCCACACCTTCCCGGGAGCTCTGCAGGGTCCCAGCACCGAGGCGGTTCGGGACGGGAGCCCGACCCTGCATTTTGCCATCACAGCTTCAGCGCCTGCGGCTCAGAGCCCCCCCCCTGGGTGCCCCTTCCCCTGGCCCTTAGGGGCCCTCAGGGTAGGGTGGGCCTGGCCTGGGGGGCCTGGACCCGCTCCTGGCGCACTCCCTGTTTTGTGCAGAAGGGGCTGACCTGGGTGCTGTGTGGCCCTGGGCAGGCCTGTGTGTCTCTGGCCACGGTCGGGCTGGGCAGGAGGCCGGGGGCAGCGTGGGCTGTGGGGCTAATTGCCCTTAGCTCCTGATCCCGCTCTGAGCCACTAGGTCCCCGGAAGGAGGCCAGGGCCCCCGGGGAGCTCATTACCGCCTGCTCCCCACCCGTCCCTGCTGACGGGTTGTTTGTTGTTACCCCCCTTACTGGGCCGTTGCCCTGCAGGGCCTCCCTCGCCCCACCCTGTTTTCTCCACCGAAGAGGGGTGTTCAGCCTGAGCTGCACCCCCATCCCCCCCCCCCAGACACTCTGGGGATGCCGAGCCTCAGGCGAGGGCGCACCAACCTGAGCTCACTCTCTGTGCTGCCTCCTCCAGGAAGCTTTCCGGCACGCCCGCCCCTCCGGTCCTGGGCTCATCCTGGTGGGAACTAAACAGGCTCCCTTCCTGCCCATGGCCTCTGTGTGTGCCTGATCCCAGCCTCCAGGGCTGATCTGGGTGTGTGTGTGTGTGTGTGTGTGTGTGTGTGGAGGGGGCATTTCCGCCCTCCTTGGCAGCCACCTGCTTCCACCTGCTCCTGCCCTGCCAGGTCCTGCCTGCAGGAGGTGGGATGTGTCCCACCCTCCGGCCCCCCGCCTAGGCTATACGCACAGGCTGTGACAGTGCCCACAGGGCAACACAGGGCAAGCCTGGTTCCCCCTACGCCTGAGAGGCTATGAGAGGGACATGCCCCATCCTGTTCTCAGACCAGGGCGGAGGGACGGGGAAAGAGTGAGGGGTCCGTGTTGGGGGCACTCGCTGACAGGCAGCGAGCAAAGTCTGAGAGGTGGGCACTGCTCGTGAGGACAGGCGGGGCTCTCTGAGCTCCATTTGAGTGCTGGGGTTCGGGGATAGCCCGGTATGGGGGGGGACAGCCCTGCGTGGGCCAGGTCCTGAGCCCCGGCCCTGGTACCAGTGGGGATAACCTGCACAGAGTAACTGCAGGCCAGGGAGACAGTGCCAGGGCCAGGGGCATGCTTGCATGCATGGTGGGAACCCAGTGCCTTCCCTACCAGTCCCCCGCCGGCAGGGTCCAGCCCTACGCCGCACCCTGAACCCTCCAGCCCTGTTGGCTGAGACTCGCCAGGAGTGGCCTCAGCCCCCTGAGCACCATGTGGGAGCCCGCCACACCAGTAACTGGAAAAGTTGCTGCCCGGTCCTCATGGAGGTTGTCGTGGAGGGCCACCCCCGCCCCCGCCCCACCCCAGGTCTGGGCAGTTCCTCTCCTCACAGTCCTGGAGAGCGTCAGCCCAAGGCCTGCGGGGGCTGACGCTTGTTCTCAGGGCAAGAGGGAGAAAGTGAGGTGGCATTGGGACCCTCAAGTGCAGCCAACAGACACCCGGGCAGGCTGGCGGAGGCAGAGAGAAGAAACCAGAGCTCCAGCCTGGTACGTGACAATGAAAATACGCGCTGAGCCCTCCCCGAGTGGAGCCAGGCAACTTCCCCGGCTCAGTGGATCCTGGACCTGCCGGAGTCCCTCGCTCCCCGCCCAGACATGGTGGCATGCTCTTTCCCTATGCCATGTCCAGACTTGTGTATTAGGGAATCTCACGCCCCAGCCCACCTTGTCACCACCCCCCTGCCACCTGGCTGCGCTGGCCTGCCCCTGCAATCAGAGCATGTGCCTTGATTTCCCAGTTTTTCCACCCTGGTCCTGTTGAGTTCGAGAGTCACCCCAGTGTCAGCTCCTGAATTCATCTCTGCCCCGTGCCTCCCCCCTCCAACCAGCTCCCCCCGCCCAATCTCTCCCCATAGCCTGCAGCTGAAGGGTTGACCTGGCTGGTCCTGCCAAGCAGGACCCTCACACCTTCACTGATACACACACACCTGCCCCGTGGCCTGTTTCCCTCCTGCCCCCCCTTTCCCCAAGCACACCAGCCAGACAGTGGGACAACGGGACTCATTTTCCGAGAGCCCCCAAGTGGCAGGTCCTGGTCTTGGCCTGGCCCAGAGTGATGATGAGAAAGACACACCAGCTCTGCCCACTCGGGCGCACAGCCACAGGTGGGTACATCACATAAAGATGGAGCAGACCAAGGAGCAGAGAGAGGGCACTGGCCTTGCACGCGTGGGTCTGGGTTCCATCCCCCGGCATCCCATAGGGTCCCCCGAGCACCGCCAGGAGTAATTCCTGCGTGCAGAGCCAGGAGTAACCCTGAGCATCACCAGGTGTGGCTCCCGCCCAACCAAGCACACAAACAGGAGACCCGAGCCCCATCCTCAGCACCACACAGTTCCTGAGTGCCGCCTGGACGTGACTCCGAAGTCACGTGCTCACCAGCCACACACGCTAAGCCGTGTGCAGAGAAAATGAAGTTTGTGCGGGAAGGAGAGAAGCAGGCAGCACGTAGCATAAGGGTTTAGGGGGGCTCCCGCGAGGGGCTCCTCAGCCTCGCTCCCCCTCCATCCCTCCACTGCTCTGTGAAACGCTGTGTGATGCTTGAGCACTTTGACATCTCTCTGTGTGCTTGGGAGTGGCCCCGGGGCCCCCACAGCTGGCCTCAGGACTTGGGGTGCCGCCTTCTCAGAGCTTGGCCTTGCTGTTCCGCCTTCCCTGAGAGCCTGTGGATTACTTGGCTTCTTTCGGGCAGGTGGGGCCTCCCCGGCTCTGTGGATTCTGGGCCTGCTGGGGTCCCTCGCTCCCCGCCCATACATGGTGGCATGCTTTTCCCCTGTGCCATGTCCAGACTTGTGTATTAGGGAATCTCACGCCCCAGCCCACCTTGTCACCACCCCCTGCCACCTGGCTGCGCTGGCCTGCCCCTGCAATCAGAGCATGTGCCTTGATTTCCCAGTTTTTCCACCCCGGTCCTGCTGAGTTCCGGGAGTCACCCCAGCGTCGGCTCCTGAATTCATCTCTGTTGCCCTGACCGCCAGGCGTGTGGTCCACGGGGACCCTCGAGAGGGGGATTTGGGAAGGAGAGCAGCTGGCTGGCGACAGCCGTGGGAGCTCTGAGTAGGGGCTTCGAGGAATGCAAGTTCCCAGGCCCCCCGACATGCTGCAGGGTGGGGGCGCACCCCTGTCTACCCCTGCAGGGTGCTTCTCCTGCTCATGGAGGTGTGAGATCAGGGCTTTGGTTGAGGGGTGGGAGAAGGTTTTCGGGGCACATCTGGGAGGCGAAATCAAGGGGCGTGGCCCCCGTTGTGGAGGGGAGCGGGGCCCTCACGGCTTCCAAGGCATGTGGGCGGCTGTGAGTCTCCAGTCAGCTGCCCTTTGGCTCGGTGCTCCCTCCCTTCCTGGGTGATGGGGGAGCTACCAGCCTCTGTGACTACACTCGCATCCTGCCCCCTCAAGGGTGCCCCCTCCACAGTGCTCCTCCTGCACAAAGGGGATCCTGTGCCCCCTCCACAGTGCTCCTCCTGCACAAACGGGCTCCTCTCCGCCTGCCCCCTCCGCAGTGCTCCTTCTGCACAAACAAACGCCTCCCGCCCCAACCCTGGGAGTCGGGGCCGTTTCCACAGCAATTGACATCAGCCACGGGTTCCCCAAGGAGCCCGGCAGCCTCCTCCGGGCTGCTGCTGGGAGAGGCAGGGAGGCGTGTCCGGCCTCGCCTCCTCCCACGCACCCACTGGGCGCAGGGCTGGCTGGCGGGTGGGTGGGGCCGCGGGTGGCCTCCCGCCTCGGCGCGGGGGCCCCAGCCACTCGGCTCCAGGCGGCGGCGGCGGCGGGTGGCAGCGGCGAGTGGCAGCGGCGCGCAGCGGGCGATGGCAGAGGACGGGGCGCAGAAGCCGCAGCTGGAGATGCCGCTGGTCCTGGACCAGGACCTGACCAAGCAGATGCGCCTCCGCGTGGAGAGCCTGAAGCAGCGTGGGGAGAAGCGCCAGGACGGCGAGAAGCTGCTGCGGCCGGCCGAGTCCGTGTACCGCCTCGACTTCATCCAGCAGCAGAAGCTGCAGTTCGAGCGCTGGAACGTGGTGCTGGACAAGGCGGGCAAGGTGACCATCACGGGCACCTCGCAGAACTGGACGCCCGACCTCACCAACCTCATGACGCGCCAGCTGCTGGACCCCGCGGCCATCTTCTGGCGCAAGGAGGACTCGGATGCCATGGACTGGAACGAGGCCGACGCCCAGGAGTTCGGCGAGCGCCTGTCCGAGCTGGCCAAGGTGCGCAAGGTCATGTACTTCCTCATCACCTTCGGCGAGGGCGTGGAGCCCGCCAACCTCAAGGCCTCGGTGATCTTCAACCAGCTCTGACCCCCTCCGCGCCCAGCTGTGTAGTCTGGGGACCGCCCGCTCGCCGCTGACCACTGCCTGGCTTCGCCCGGACCCCCCTGCAAGCGTCGCCTCCTCTCCTCTCCCGCCTGGAGCAGAGACTGCCAAGACCCTAGTCTAGAAGCCTAGCTGGCTGCTGCCCCCGTCCCCTGAGCCTCGGAGGCCTGGTGGGGACCAGAGTTGGGGGGCGGGGTGGAGGGGCCTCGGCGCCCGCCTCCCCCGCCTTGTCCAGAGAGAGGCCGAGAGAGACCAAGAGCGGAACTGAGAAAGAGGAATCTGGAGACCAGTGTCCAGCCACGCCCGTGGGGCATCAGGACCGGCCCTCGCTGCCCGGCCAGCCCTGTGCCCTGTGCAGAAGCGGTGGCCAGAGCCCAGTGCCCAGCCAGGACTGTGCCTCGGTGACCTGCAGTACTTGGGGATCGGGCCACCAGGACCGGCCAGTGCTTGTTCCTCATACTGTGACATCAGCAGGAGAGAGAGAGAGAGAAGGAAAGGACTGAGCACCGCCGAGGGCCCAGTGGCCCCAGGGGATCCATCGGCACCCAGAGATGCTCTGTGCATGGGGCAGGTGGAGGCTGAGCGGTCCAGGCTGGTCCTGGCCCTGGGTTACTGCTTCTCCCCATCCCGCTGGGGAGGGGCACCCGGGTTCACGCAGGAAGGAGGGCTCCCTCTCGGGGGAGCTGCGCAGAGCCCCATCCCGCCCGGGAGGGGCGCCCCGAGTTTGCGCAGGAAGGAGGGCTCCCTCTCGGGGAGCTGCGGGAGGACACTGAGGTCGGGAAGGCACTAGTGCCATCTGGTTCTGTGTCTCGTCGTTAGTGACTCCAGGGCTGCTGTGACGGCAGAAGAGGGTGACAGGGAGTGTGGCAGTCCCCTGGGCAGAGCCTCCTCGCCACCAGGGAAACCGAGGCACCATCATCCACTCCGGCCCCCGAGCTGCGTCAACTGCCTGCGATCAGCCAAGGCCCCGCAGAAAGTGACCCGGTCAGCCTGTGTCCAGTCCTTCACCGTGTCCACTAGAAGCGGGCCTTCTCGCATCCCGAGAGCAACAGGGGACAGGAAGCGGCCGGAGCCTGTTCCGGGCCTGTTGAGGGGGGACAGCCCTGCCTGGCTTCTTGCGGAGATTGGGGGCCCCACTGCGTCAGAGCCTGCCTTTCTGCTTGGCCCCAGACTGCCACACCCCACCTGCCCTGCTGTGCATTCTGCACGTCCCCAATAAAGCCTGTGTGTCCCCAATGGAGCCTGCGAGTCTCTCGTGCAAGCCACGCCCTCGGGCAGCACCTCCGACTCCCCCGCCCAGACCCCCGTCCCCGGCCTCTGCCCACTGGCGTTCTGGGGTTCTCTCTCAGGCAGTGCCCAGGGCCCCGGGCTGCTTCCGGCGATGCTCGGTGCCCGAGTTGGAGTCAGGAGCCGGGGTGCAGTGGCCTGCCTGTTCGTCTTTGGGTCAGGGTCTGTGGTCAGGGCTGGGCAGGACCCACAGCCCGATGCAGTCCTCAGCGCCCCCCAGCCCACCCCACCGACCTCACTGGGGCCTGTGGAGTGAGTCCTGCTGAGGCCCTGGCCCTGCCGAGCCCTGAGCCGTTGCCCTGGCTGGGGGGATTTGTAAGGGTGAGGGCAGGGTGGGCGCAGGGACTCCACCCGCAGATGCACCCATGCTGTGGCCCCAGGCCAGCCCTGTGGGCTCATCACTGTGCCCGCCTCTCACGCTCACCCAGGTGGGGGGCAGAGACAGGCCAGGTCCAAGGAGGCCGCCCCCCTCCAGCCGTGCAGAGGGGATGAAGGGCCTGAGCCAGGGTGCGGACGGTGGGTCAGTGGGCTGCTGCTCGGTGAGATTCCGGCTAACCCAGCCCTGTGCTGGGACACGCCGGCCATGTGGAGGGTTGTCCCAGCCCTGAGCAGGACACATCGGTATTGCAGAGGAGCGGGGAGGGGGGGTACTATCCCAACACTGTGCCGGGAACACGCTGGCAGTGCCAGGGTACCGTCGAGGCCTCCAGCTCCCAGACCAGGCTCCCAGCCCCCCTGAGCCGTCTCTCTCAGGTCATGACCTGTGGATCTTTCACTTCATGGCCCCAGATTGGGCAGGGGACACTGCAGCCCCTTGGAGGACGCTGGGGCTCTGCCTGGACACAGCCCTGGCCCGCGTCCTCCAGGGGGTCCTGCTTCCAGCTTCCTCTACTGGAACCCTACCCGTGCTCTCAGGAACTCTTCTCAGGACACCCCGGCCCACGGCCTGCTCTGGGAGAGGGTCAGGGGCCCCTCGGATGTCCATCCGGAGGACCGTGGGGGTAAGGGAGATGAGAGAAGTCACGGGCAGAGACCTGCCCTCTGTGGGCTGGGCCTGGGGCCTCCTCCTGGCACCCCCTGCCAGGACACTCTGTCCCCTTTGCTAGTCTCCCCCCATCCCCATCACACTGACCCACCCCCGGTTGTTTTGTTTGGGGCCACACCCCGCAGTGCTCAGGGCTTAACTTGTGGCTCTGTGCTCAGGGGGCACACCTGGCAGTGCTCAGGGGTCCATAGGGGTTTCTGGGGGCCAAATCTGGATCCGCCTTGTGTGAGGCAGGTGCCGTGCCGTTACCCTCTCTCTCCGGCCCCTGCTCAGTTATTTTGAGGGAGTCGCAGAGAGAGTCAGTGGCCCGAGGGGGTGCTCGGCCCAGGACTGGGGGTGCTCTCTGGGACTCTGGCCGGGGGGGCTGCTCTCTACCCCTCCCATCCTACACCGGGTCTGTCATGGGAGGGGCTGAGCACTGAGGGTCTTGGGTACAGAGGCAGGATCGGGTTGCCAATGGAAGCCCACTGTAGCCCTGGCCTGCCTGCTGGCCTCTGTCAGAACCACTCTTGGCAGTCTGGCAGCTCCCCTCACCGCCCTGGCCCTGCAGGCTTCTGTCCCTCCCTCCCCCCCCCCCCCCACTCCAGTCCCTTCCTGGAGGCCTGAGGGTCAGGCTCAGCTGGTTTGGGGGGCGGGCGGGGGGCATGCTCGTGCCCAGAATCGAGGTACTGTCCTAAGAAGCCCCCCAAGGAAGAGAGAACCTGTGCGGAGGCTGCCTGAGTCCCACTTTATCCCATCATACTTGCTCCCCTGGGGAACAGCCTTTTCGTGTGTGTGTGTGTGTGTGTGTGTGTGTGTGTGTGTGTGTGTGTGTGTACGTGCGCGCCAAACCTGGTGATGCTTAGGGCTTACTGAGCGTCCCGGCGCTGCACTCAGGAATCACTCCTGGCGGTGCTCAGGGGACCATATGGGATGCCGGGGATTGAACCCGGGTCTGCCGCGTGCAAGGCAAGCGCCCTCCCCGCTGGGCTCCGGCTCTGGGCTCCTTTCTTTTCCTTTCTTTTCCTCCTCTACTTCCCCTTCCCTCCTGTTCCCTCTCCTCTCCTTCTCTCCCTTCCCTCCCCTCTCTTCCCTTCCCCTCCCCTCCCCTCCCTTCCCCTCTTGTCCTCTCTCCTCCCCTCCCCTTCATTTTATTGAAACTTCTTTCGGAAGGTCTGTGGGGAGAAAGGGAGTAGCACATGCTCAGAGACAGCACAGACTTCTCCAGAGTGGACACCAGCAAGCAAAGACACAGTGACGAGTGAGCGAGTGAGCCACGTGTGCAGGGACGATGCGGGCTGGGGAGCAGTCTTTTCTGTGCTCTTCAGTCGGGGGGGGGGGGGTCACACCCAGTGTGCTCAGCAGGCCTGGGGCACCCTGGGTGATACTTGGCCTGCAGGCAGGGCCAGTCCCAAGAGCCACACCCCAGGGCATTGGGGGGGCCGTGAGGTGCTGGGACCCAGACTCAGGGTATGCTGCACCCCCCTGAGCTGCACCTCATCTCAGCAGCCCATTCCATCTGCGATACCCTGCATGTCTGGCTGGGAGGTAAAGGCTTATGGGAAAGTTACCCACAATGCAACTAAAATCACAGAATGGGGCCCAGAGCCATAGCTCAGCGGGGAGGGCGTTTGCCTTGCACGTGGCCAACCTGGGTTCCATCCACAGCATCCCATAGGGTCCCCCGAGCATCACCAGGAGTGTGATTCCTGAGTGCAGAGCTAGGAGTAACCCCTGAGCCTTGCCGGTGTGACCCCAAAACAAAACCCACTCAAAAATGATTTCACTGGGCAGGGGAGATGACTCAAATCGAAGGGTTAAATACCGGCCTTTCATGTCTGTGTGAGCCCCGGGTTTGATCCCTGGCACCTCCTGGTCCCCTGAGCACTGCTGGGAGAGCATCTGCAAGCACAGCCGTGTGTGTGATTCCCAGATAAAATAATTTTTATCATAACGGATTATCCTAATTCCCTCCCTTCCCTCACTTCCTTTGTGTTGCTATGCTGATGGCGAGCCTCGCACTCGTGGCCACGGTGCTCACTGAGCTCTGCACGCCTTGTGCAGTGCTCTGTGGAAAAGCACGGTTCTGGTGTGGCTCACACACGTCCTGACTGTGGCCCTCCCACATCTTCTTAGCTGCCGTGCTTGCCAGACTCACTCCCCATGGTGTGGTGCTCACACCCATCTGGGTGTGGCGTGGCCAGGAATTGCTTGCAGCACCCGAATCACAGAAGCAGAGCTGCCAGGAGAGCACTAGGCTCATGTGGGACACCAGGGATTTGCACTCGTGACCATGCGCTTTCGGGACCATCACTCAGAGCCCCTGTGCCTTTCTTTTGGGCCCTTCTAACGATTTCCTTTTCAGTCTGTTTTATTGTAATCAATGAATCTGCGTTTCACTTCTTATTTTTTGGGCCCCCTCTGACAGTGTTAGCTTACTGCCAGCTCTGTGCTCAGAGATCACTCCTGGTGGGTTCGAGGGAACACATGTGGCACCCAGGGTCAAGTCCTGATTGCCTAGCTTACAAGGCAAGTGCCCCAACCCCGGTACTATCTCTCCGGCCCTGGTCTGTGTTTGAAATAACGGGGATTTATTCAGTCCTGTGATCAAGTGTTTTTTCTTAAGGTTTAGTTTGCGTGAGTGTGAATGCGTGTGAGTGTGTGAGTGAATGAG